GTGTTCTCTCTGTGTGTCAGAGGGGTGTTCTCTCTGTGTGACAGAGGGGTGTTCTCTCTGTGTGACAGAGGGGTGTTCTCTCTGTGTGTCAGAGGGGTGTTCTCTCTGTGACAGAGGGGTGTTCTCTCTGTGTGACAGAGGGGTGTTCTCTCTGTGACAGAGGGGTGTTCTCTCTGTGTCAGAGGGGTGTTCTCTCTGTGTGTCAGAGGGGTGTTCTCTCTGTGTGTCAGAGGGGTGTTCTCTCTGTGACAGAGGGGTGTTCTCTCTGTGTGACAGAGGGGTGTTCTCTCTCTGTGTCAGAGGGGTGTTCTCTCTGTGTGTCAGAGGGGTGTTCTCTCTGTGACAGAGGGGTGTTCTCTCTGTGTGACAGAGGGGTGTTCTCTCTGTGACAGAGGGGTGTTCTCTCTCTGTGTCAGAGGGGTGTTCTCTCTGTGTCAGAGGGGTGTTCTCTCTGTGTCAGAGGGGTGTTCTCTCTGTGTGTCAGAGGGGTGTTCTCTCTGTGTGACAGAGGGGTGTTCTCTCTGTGTGACAGAGGGGTGTTCTCTCTGTGTGTGACAGAGGGGTGTTCTCTCTGTGTGACAGAGGGGTGTTCTCTCTGTGTCAGAGGGGTGTTCTCTCTGTGTGACAGAGGGGTGTTCTCTCTGTGTGACAGAGGGGTGTTCTCTCTCTGTGTGACAGAGGGGTGTTCTCTCTGTGTGTGACAGAGGGGTGTTCTCTCTGTGACAGAGGGGGTGTTCTCTCTGTGACAGAGGGGGTGTTCTCTCTCTGTGACAGAGGGGTGTTCTCTCTGTGTGTCAGAGGGGTGTTCTCTCTGTGTCAGAGGGGTGTTCTCTCTGTGACAGAGGGGTGTTTCTCTCTGTGACAGAGGGGTGTTCTCTCTGTGTCAGAGGGGTGTTCTCTCTGTGTCAGAGGGGTGTTCTCTCTGTGTGACAGAGGGGTGTTCTCTCTGTGTCAGAGGGGTGTTCTCTCTGTGTGACAGAGGGGTGTTCTCTCTGTGTGACAGAGGGGTGTTCTCTCTGTGTGACAGAGGGGTGTTCTCTCTGTGTGACAGAGGGGTGTTCTCTCTGTGACAGAGGGGTGTTCTCTCTGTGTCAGAGGGGTGTGTGTTCTCTGTGTGACAGAGGGGTGTTCTCTCTGTGTCAGAGGGGTGTTCTCTCTGTGACAGAGGGGTGTTCTCTCTGTGTGACAGAGGGGTGTTCTCTCTCTGTGACAGAGGGGTGTTCTCTCTGTGTGACAGAGGGGTGTTCTCTCTCTGTGACAGAGGGGTGTTCTCTCTGTGACAGAGGGGTGTTCTCTCTGTGTCAGAGGGGTGTTCTCTCTGTGTCAGAGGGGTGTTCTCTCTGTGTCAGAGGGGTGTTCTCTCTGTGTGACAGAGGGGTGTTCTCTCTCTGTTGACAGAGGGGTGTTCTCTCTCTGTGTCAGAGGGGTGTTCTCTCTGTGTCAGAGAGGTGTTCTCTGTGTGACAGAGGGGTGTTCTCTCTGTGACAGAGGGGTGTTCTCTCTGTGTCAGAGGGGTGTTCTCTCTGTGTGACAGAGGGGTGTTCTCTCTGTGTGACAGAGGGGTGTTCTCTCTGTGTGACAGAGGGGTGTTCTCTCTGTGTGACAGAGGGGTGTTCTCTCTGTGTGTCAGAGGGGTGTTCTCTCTGTGTCAGAGGGGTGTTCTCTCTGTGACAGAGGGGTGTTCTCTCTGTGTCAGAGGGGTGTTCTCTCTGTGTGTCAGAGGGGTGTTCTCTCTGTGTCAGAGGGGTGTTCTCTCTGTGACAGAGGGGTGTTCTCTCTCTGTGTGTCAGAGGGGTGTTCTCTCTGTGTGTCAGAGGGGTGTTCTCTCTGTGTGACAGAGGGGTGTTCTCTCTGTGTGACAGAGGGTGTTTCTCTCTGTGTGACAGAGGGGTGTTCTCTCTGTGACAGAGGGGTGTTCTCTCTGTGTCAGAGGGGTGTTCTCTCTGTGTCAGAGGGGTGTTCTCTCTGTGTCAGAGGGGTGTTCTCTCTCTGTGTCAGAGGGGTGTTCTCTCTCTGTGTCAGAGGGGTGTTCTCTCTGTGTGACAGAGGGGTGTTNTCTCGTTTTGATCTAGTTTCGACCTAGACCTGGTTGAGTCTTGGTTTAGACCGGGTTTGTTCTGGGTTTTTGGCTCGATTCTGGCCTATTAAGGATGGGTTTAGTCCTGGTTTAGACCTGGTTCAGTCCTGGTTGACTGTTGGTTTAGATCTAGTTTTGACCTAGAACTGATTAAGATCTAGTTTGTTCTAGGTTTTGGCCTATTAATAATGGGTTTAGTCTTGGTTTAGATCTGCTTTAGTCCTGGTTGACTCTCAGTTTAGATCTAGTTTTGACCTAGACCTGATTAAGACCTGGTTGAGTCTTGTTTTAGACCTGGTTTGTTCTAGATTTTGGCCTGATTTTGGCCTATTAATGATGGGTTCAGTCCTGGTTTAGATCTGGTTTAGTCCTGGTTGACTCTTGGTTTAGATCGAGAATCGACCTAGACCTGGTTGAGTCTTG